TACATATTACAGACAGATCTAAGGTATTCAGACTACCCCCATTAATACATATTACAGACAGATCTAAGGTATTCAGACTACATATTACAGACATACTTTAGGTCTACTCCCATCGCTAGACTTTAAATAGATGTCAGCTTTATAAAGTTGTTCATGTATACCTTACAGATATAATGTATAGCAAGGTTTTGTAGTAAATCCTTGTCAGGTCTTTACGCGACTTACTTCCATTGGTATGATACATATTTGGTAAGGTGCTATTAGTCGAGGCCATGCTATCATGTTTGCCTCAGACAAAACTTCAACACAAGCCTGCATTATTCTAGAGACACCAAGTCCATAGCATCCCATCTGATAAAAACTGAAACAAGAAATAAATATCCTGAAAAAATATCTCAGCCATTCAACAATCAGTCCATGCATTTAAATAATTTGATAGTTTTACTTGTACCTGTTTCACTGAAACAAAATTAACCAAAGGTCAACTAGAGATTTGTTTTTGTGAACAAAAACGTATGTCTCCCCTTGTTAGCCAATATGCAAATTTTGGAAGAATAGAAAGGTCACATCAAGATTAAAGTGTGTAAATTCTAAACCATTAAACTTTTAAATTATTCTGGTTCATGTTAAATTGTCTGAACAATTTTCGGCAGCTGGTACTATAGACACATTTACATGTATATAAAAATAGGAATTATCACACATCTGATTACAATCTGGTAAGTAAAATTATGTCGATAAAGTCAAATAATTATAACTGTATCTACGATCGATTATGCACAGGTGGGTGATGTTCAGTACTCGACTCTCCGTCTTCCCGAGTGCATAAATAAAGAAAGTTTGGTCAACGTAGGAGAAATAACATGGAACTAATGCTGCAGAAAAACTTCGGTATAAGAAATTAACAAAGGGCCTTATCTTTTTTATATAGTGGGGCACGACACCCGATGTAAAAATGTGACACTCCTACTTCCCAAGATACACAACTATAGCAAGTTTGGTACACCTAGGTGAAATAACATGGAAGATATGCCGAGGACAAACTTCGCTACTAAAAACAAACAAAGGGCTAGAACTCGATCTGTATAGAGTGGGGCACGAGACCCAATTTCAGTGCGTGAGATTCCGCCTTCCCAAGATACATATATATGGTAAGTTTGTTCAACATAGGTGAAATAACATGGAACTCATGCTCCAGACAAACTTCAGTATTGAACATAAACAAAGGGCCATAGCTCAGTACATAGTGGGGTAAAAGACCTATTTCCACTGCACTGCACACCTTCTGTGGGTGATGCACATATACTTCAACTTTGATTAAGATATCTTAAATGGTTAAGAAATTATGCCGAGAAAAAACTTCGATATAAAACATAAACAAAGGCTCATAACTCTGTATATACTACGGCACAAGACCTGGTTTCAGTTAATAACAGGGCTGTGTGTGGTTGGGCAAGTGATACTGAGGCTAAGTTTATAACAGGGCTGTGTGTGGTTGGGACATGTGATACTGAGGCTAAGTTAATAACAGGGCTGTGTGTGGCTGGGACATGTGATCCTGAGGCTAAGTTAATAACAGGGCTTTGTGTGGTTGGCACATGGGATGCTGAGGCTAAGTGTATAACAGGGCTGTGTGTGGTTGGCACATGTGATGCTGAGGCTAAGTGTATAACAGGGCGGTGTGTGGTTGGGACATGTGAGGCTGAGGCTAAGTGTATAACAGGGCTGTGTGTGGCTGGCACATGTGATGCTGAGGCTAAGTTAATAACAGGGCTGTGTGTGGCTGGGACATGTGATACTGAGGCTAAGTTAATAACAGGGCTTTGTGTGGTTGGCACATGTGATGCTGAGGCTAAGTTTATAACAGGGCTGTGTGTGGTTGGGACATGTGATACTGAGGCTAAGTGTATAACAGGGCTGTGTGTGGTTGGGACATGTGATGCTGAGACTAAGTTTATAACGGGGCTTTGTGTGGTAGACACAAGAAAGATAGCTCCAATTTACAAAATGATGTTTATAACTGAAATTGGTAAATACATTCGAGTTGAAACTATCACTTATTATGAGGCCAAAAATTACCCATAACGCCCCAAGTCCTATGTCATTGTGTATAGGTATCTGGTGTTAAGTTGTTAAGTTTAACTAAGGAAATGTTAGGATTTTAAGAAATATCCAAATGCTGAGTTTTCACTCTGTATTGGTAAGCTGTTTTTGTATGTATGACTCCAAATATTGGGTTTTCAGAACATTTTGGTACGCTGTAATATTTCCATGTGATAGTGTATCTTAGCACTCTCATTGTTGAGTTTTCAGTACAGAACGGTTCTCTGCAGATTTAGATGTTTGAGTTGTTAGTACAGATTTGTACGCTATGGTTCTATTTAGCAATATGACTTAATTATTCCAAGAAGATAAACTACAACGTATTTAAATGTATAAAACTGCCTGAATTTTTCCTATTTCTCAATAACGTGAAAGGAAATAAACGACAAATATGCAAACGTACGCAGTGGCTCGGAGAGACGGTACCATTCAATAGGTTACAGTCGCTGTTTGATGTACAATAGCGACTTTCAGAAATTTCATTTTTAAGCACATTTGCAATGACTTTACAAAGGATTAGATTTAGATTAGAAATTAATGACCTAAAAATACATTTCGTTTCTAAATCATATCAAGTTACTTATTACACAGGATCAATTTGGTGACAGAAACCCAACTACAGCTGTATATCTAGTTTTCCTGAGAATCTTTGAACAAACAAAAATGTCTGCATGCATACTATAACTATCTCTGTCCCTGTAGTGCATTTTTAAAGGTGAAATATCTCTGTCCCTGTGTAGTGCACTTAAATGGTAAAATATCACTTGTCCCTGCATGTTTAGAGCGGTTAAATGGGAACTAACTCTGTTCCTGTATACTGTATTTTAATGGTGAAATATCACATACCTTGGTTTTGAGGCTTTGTCAACACATTTGGCATTAAAAGGCTCTGAGTACTTTGTTCCTAGCAGGAAAGAATGTCCGACCTTGATAAAAGAAACTGGGAGTTATACATGCACTACAGGCAAATATACATATCTCAAAACATAATTTTCAAACTTACTTACTTTCTGAAGTTTCCATAGCAGAGTTTACATGTGCTCAAAATTAAAAACATTAATCAAATGTGTCTATATATATACACCATAGCAGATTTTTTTTTAATTGAATAGCATCTTTTGAGTTGTTCTTTCAGATGAAATCATCAGATCTTAGAAAATAGAAACAGATCAGCAGATTCACTGGTTGAAAGTGCTCAGTTTTAGGGCCCAAAATCGGGAGTCTCCTCCAAATAGGGAGAGTTGGCAAGGATGCATTCTGTTACATGGACCAATGTATGACAAGTTGAATTGGTGATGTTTTATTTTTGTGCTCAGAGCAGAAAAATTGATTTGGTACATTGCTGAATTAGTGGTACATATACTTCAACAGACTTGTGAAATATTTAGGAGGTGGTTTTTAGTAGGAAAGTTTGAGCACAAGAGTGGAATTGTCAGTTTTTACCGCCGACATTGGTGTATCAAGGTGTAAAAGGATCCCTGTTCCACTATCCTGTGTTTTATCGTGTACACAGTAACCTCCCCTTGATTTATGTTCAAAGTACCAATATTTTGGCAGTGGTATGGTGATCCTTAAGTTGATATATAGAGTATACCGTGAGACAGTAATGGTGTATGTTGTCTATTGACACTAGTAAGAGGATAGATCTGTTGAGAGTGCAATAATATAAATCCTTGATAGTTGGTGACATTTGCCTGTCAGCAATGAAAGTTACCTCAATAGATGACGGAGTTAACAATTCACAGGAACTCTCAGAACATTTCTTGTCTTTTGCCTCTTAAATAAAAAGAAACACATAAATAACAACAGCATTAAACAAGATTTAAATTATGGTCAAAATGTTATCACCATTTGAAAAATGTCTACAGAAATCACAAGTCATTCGGATTGATATGTCTGGCCTATGCCCTGCTTTGACCATCAATGCACATAATCAAAGAAACTAACTTAAACGCAAAAACGTAATGTTGATGGAGATGCTGATAAAGTCAATTGACCATAAAAAGGTTGGTCGCATCCAGCATTTGATGCATGGGTTCAGATGTACTACCTAAAATGCATCTATGGTGCAAGTTTGGTTGGTGTAGCACTTATAATTTACGAGAAACTAACTTAAACGCAAAAACTTAATGTTGATGGAGATGCTGACTAAGTCAATGGACCATAAAAGCTAGGTAGCATCCAGCATTTGATGCATGGGCTGAGATGTATGCTTCCTAAGATGCATCAATGGTCCAAGTTTGGTTGGTGTAGCACTTATTCTTTTAGAGAAACTAACTTAAACACAAAAACTTAACGTTAACGCCGCCATCACCGCAGTCGTCAGAAAAGCAACACCTATGTCTTGCTTCCACTTTGTGGAGGCGAGACAAGACAAAAATCATTGACCAGAAAACATGGGAAATATGACCTATTTCATTCACCAGGTAAACAGTGGTGATCCTATGTTACCAGGTAAACAGTGGTGATCCTTTGCTACCAGGTAAACAGTGGTGATCCTATGTTACCAGGTAAACAGTGGTGATCTTCCGTTCATCAGTTTGTAATTGTGACTTGGTTCAACAGACATAGCAACAGTGACCAAAGATTTATCAGGAAATCTTACCTGTAGTTTCAGCATTAGCACCAAATCCACACCTGAAAAAATGAAATGTTTCAAATGAAAAAATTACATTGAAACACTTATTATAACAATGGCATGAAAACATTCAATTTGAGAAGTTAATCCAATCCATCTTGGCCAGACCAGTGTCTGAGTGTACATCTTACACCTTAGAAACAGCTGACTGTAAGTCAGTCTGATTTATATGGTAGTTGACTTACATAGGTATAGGTATCAATACCTATGAATTCAATGAAAAAATATCAGCTAACTGAATACTGTCTACATACCAAAAGGTCAATGTACTTAAAGAAAATTCATACGATGGCTAAAAAACTTTATATAAGTATAGAACTTGATGTTATAGTACAAATGAAAGTGTGATATATAAACGATAAGGTTTACCATGAAGTGGTACATAATATGCCTGTCATACGCTGAATGAACAGTTGAGTATCATATTCATTGAAATATATGAAATATTTTGGAGTAGTTGTTGTTAAGGAGTAATAATTAAATATTCCTGGTAGATCAATGAGTGCATTAACACTTGATGCATGTAGTAGAGTGAATTGGATTAATGAAAACAAGGGGAATAACTCTATTAATTATGGTCAGATAATTGTGATTACAATCACTCTGCTGAATCAGGGGGCATAACTCCACAAATTATGATCATATTATAGCAGTTGTCCAAGCTTATGAAAATTGAAGAAAAATTCGTTGAAAATTACTCGAGCTATAGTGCAAACACTGCTTCAACAAAAACAATAAGGATCAGTAAACATCACAAACTTTTTGCAGACATGGATCGTGTCCTCCCCGATATCAGCCCTGATTTGGAACTCATGGGACATGCTTCCTCCGATATTGCCTGTGGAACCAATTACTGAAAGAAAAATATATAAGTCATCAAAGATCTCTGCAAGTACAATATATGATATCTTACACTTCCTCAACTGGATTTAACTTCATAATACATATACATTGTGAAATGAATTTCTTCCCTATTAATAAATGTCTATGAGGACAAGCTAAAAGCTATATTTATTGAATAATTGATTATACTTGAAATCGTAATCAATGACAACAAGATTTTTAATTATTATCAGATGTTTCAATGCTACATGTACAAATTCAATAACATAGTCATAAAAACATAATCACTTATTTTGAATAAAGTTAAAGAGCCTGCATTTCCCCACTAGATAAATGTAAACTAAAACTGTCACCAGAATGGCAGGCTTATAGAACTGTAGGAATAGTTCTTTGGACAATGTTTTTGAATGAACAAGGCAAAGTATTGAAGGCAATCCAAAGTCCCCCACCGGTAATGATTTCTTCATTTACTAAGCTTTTATACACCTATCTCAGGATATAGGTCAAAGTGACATACTTCGTGTACTCCATACTTTGTCAGCCAAGACATACTTGCAAACCAAATCTGGTTACTCCAGGTTAAAGACTATACCCAGACAAACCTTTGCAAAGACTGAGGAAAAGCACACGTCACAGTGACACACTTGTACTTTGCAATCTAGACTGCAATCCCAATATGTTCTTGCAAACAAAATCTGGTTACTCCAGGTGACATAGTGAAACAGTATAGAAGATCAAGATATGCTGCCCCAGACAAACTTATCAACGGTTGAGGTGAAAGGTCAAACCATAGGATAATAGTGACCTATTTTTTGTACTCGCCATTCTGCCATCCCAAGATATACTAGCATACCAAATAGAAGAAATAGTCTAGAAGAAATGCCCCAGACAAACATTTTTGAAAGTTTTAGGTGCAAGGTCATACTATAGGTTAGGTAGCAGTAGAAGAGGGTTGTGGCCATGGGTGATATTTTTGTTAAATGGCTAACCCCTGTATAATGATGTAAAAAAATATAAAAATAAAACTGTACTAAAATTGGTATAAGCATGATGAAGTGGGCTATGTGAGCTTCACATTCGTAAAAAAAAAAGAAGATTTTTTTGGTTTGAGAATAAAATTTTGGCCATAATCCGAAAGGGTGCCTACACATGAAAAGCTAGCTTTACAGGAGGTAAAATTTTGACAACAGCACACGACGCAAAATTGCAAAAAATCAAGTTTTACAACTTTACTGGGACCCAGATAATTCTGCAACCAGGTAGGTAATCTTTAATTTCAGACAGAACTTAGGGAAAAAAATACTAGTTGCGGGGGTCAAATTTTGGGTCAAAAATAGCAATTTTTGGCATTTTTTGGTAATTTTTGATGTGGTAACCATGGTTTTCACACAAGTGACATACATAGAAAAAGAGGTTTATACACTTCTCAGTACTTTATATGTATTGTAAATGTAATGCAGTTTACAAATATATATACAGGTATACATGTGTTGTGTAGGGTAAATCCGCTGTGTTTACATTTCCTCGACATGTGCCTTGTTTATCAGAGTCGGGCCATTTCTACTGTATACTGCTACCTGACAGTGATATTGGTGTTTTTTTACTTGACACTCTGCCATCCCAAATCTAGTTACATGTATTCCAGGTGACATAGTTTAGAAGATATCCACTGGAAAATTGTTTGACAAACTTTTGTAAGAAGTGGAATAACTCCCATAGAAATGTCCAGATCAAAGCTTCAATTGCTGGAGAACATCTTCAAAGAGTGTTGATGATGGCAGTGAAGTTTCACGAAATTCATTTGACAACAATAGGAGTTAACAATTGTGTCAACAGACTGACAGATGGACAACATGTACATACCTATATCGTAGTCCATCTCCAGTTTGTCCAGTATCCGCGTGTAGGCTGTACAAACTGATTGGTAGGTCTCGGCTGCATCTTCTAATGTGGCATCAAATGTGTACAAATCTATAATCAAATTGAATGATTGAAATCAAATCAAACTACCCTCGCAGTAGGTAAAGTAAATGTTGATTGGAGAAAAGAACTTGCAGCAGAGTTTGCAGTGAGATCAACTTAACACATACATAGAAAATATGAGCGAAATTAGACAATATATGAATGTCGACCAATCAGAAGCCAGTATATGGCAGCCGTGTTGTCCATTACTAAAATTCACCTATTTACCAAATTTGAGCAAAATCAGACAATATCTGAATTTTTATTAATGAGATGTCGGTTTACGGTGACCATATTGTTCAATTGCAAAACTGAAATCATGTTAAAGTTTGTAGTGCCATGATACACATACATTTTTTATGTATGTAACGAAAATTGATAGAAATCAAACAACATCTTGACTTCAACTGATCAGAAGCTGTATTAAGATGACCATCTTGTCCACTTAGAAAATGGAAGCTGCAGCAGAGTTCACAGTGCCATAATTAACACCTGCAAACTAGATTTGTGTGAACTCCGAAAAATCTGAATTTTGACTAACCAGAAGCCAATTTACAGTGGTAATATTGTCAAATCAGAAAATGGATGACAAGGTAGCAATCACAGGCTCACGATACACCTGCAAACCAAAGAGTGAAATCTCACCATATACCAATTATAGGTTTTGATCAATCAACTGCGGGGGGGCAATCGAGGATCATGATGGCCATATGATATTGGTTGACTAATTGTAAAATGAGGCATTGCATATATTATCCAAATGTCACCATGAAAAAATAAAGGAAGGTTGTTCTTTAAAACCCTTAGGCAGAAAGTTATTGAATGTTGAAATCTGGAAATAATTGGAAATGAGTCACAACAACCATGGCTTTTTACTGATTGGAAAATTCTAAGCCACTTGTACTCAACATGGTGCCAATAAGAACACATGGTTGGTTATAATCCACCCAATAGTTTTCTAAAAATGCATCAGATAAGATTTTGGTGGAAAAAAAAATGAAAACTTTGTAAAGTCCTCCACTTGGTTTAGAGGGCTTGATTACTGTTTTTCTACAATACTGTGAGGAACTGAGGTTGTCTGGTTTGCAATTGTGTCCAAGTTAAACTTCTTCTCAACCAATTGGATCCTAAATGTCCATCCCACAAAACAACATTTAGTAGCTTTTGAAATCTTATGCGATTGCTCCACATCATATTTTTTAACATGGAAACACCCATGCTTTTCACAAAAATGAGGAAAGTTTTCTTGAGAGTTCATGCATAGTCTGACTGTTTATATATATGATGTTCTTTTGCAAAGACTATATTTTCTCAATATCCGCTGTTGAAAACAACTTTGTTTCTGTTGTAGAAGCATTCACTTTGTTGTCATCTTGTTGCTAGGTCCAATCATACCATTTGCATATGCTATGCTCTCAAAATTTCCAAATAAATATTATATATAACAGAACATATATTACCTTTCATTTCAAATTCCCTACTTCGTAGAAAGCCATATTTAGGAGAATCTTCATCTCGAAATTTTCTTGTTATCTGAAAGTGAGATTGGTTGACCTTATGACAGAATCAAGACAAAGGATTTTGTTTGTAACACTGACAGGAATGACAATGAGAACATTTCATGTAGGTCTGTATTTCTTCACATCATCTTCATGCTTTATAAATGTATACCATTAAAGAGACTTTCACATGGACAGGTGTGTTTTGTTGATTAAAATGATTGAAAGTTGATCTTTTAAATCATAAATTACAACTTTATTGGATGTATCTTCAATTATCAATAAATACCCTTGTTATTGATTTCAATACGTCTGTGGCACCAATGAAGGCTGTTGTGAGCCCTTGATCACCATGCCATTAACAAATGTGATTCGGTACATAGTATATATACTTAACAGCATAACCTTGTATGGTCAGAATCCCTAGTAGCTTGTGAATCTCTTGCTGTCTAACACTGGGGGGATCCCTGCAGTCTCAATAAATGAGGCTTATTTATTTATTTAATTAGAACTTCTGTGGGAGTTACTCCCCTTGCATCACTATTTCTGTAACTTTCTTTCTATATATAGTTTATATTTGTTTGTAATTCTGGGACTTATATAGACATAGCCTGTTGTCCAATCGTTTTGATTTTTTCAATAAAATTTACTGAAATGAAAAATGAAATGAACAGCATTATGAAATATCCCCATTTTGCCATGTTCCAGTACATTACTTTATAGCTTTAGATTTAGTAGGTATATCTAACAGTAATTATGATTTATTTACCTTTAGAAGTGTACTAACAATAACATATTTGTTAATTGAGAAAATATTCCAAAAAAACATTCTACATATTATTTGTCCATGATAACTATCAAAATTCTTTAAATTTGTTGCCTTTTTGTCACTTTTCGTCTTGCTAATTACCTAAATAATGATAGACAAGCAGTAGTGCAATGACCTTGAATTTAGGTGTGACAGAGATTTTATAAAACAGGGCCTTTACCTGGTACATTTTCATGGGTAAACGCCTGTATGGTAACGTAGGGCCGGAGGCAAGTAAATTTGTGATCACTTCCTCATGTGTCTGTAAAATAAAGAAAAATTAAATTACAGTGAAATCTACTGGTAATATCTATACTGTAAACTACTATTTTCCCTGCTAAATTTACTCTCCTTGTGTCTTTCGAAAGATGCTTGATAGGTAGAAAGCTGCCGCGATTAAGATTTGACGTTTAATATAGCAAAATATGCACCTTTTTTCAACAGCAAAAATCAAGATATGAAAAGATGCTATTTTAAAGCAATACAGCAACGCATCAGTTTCTGGAAACTTTGGTGAACATCTAGTTTCTAGTTGTTAACATACAAAAAGTTTAAAGCACAAGTCCATTTATTCCATGGCTAACTGGTAACCTGTTTAGCTACAATCCTGAACTTACTGGTCCCAAGCAAAAAGCAACATGTTTGCGATCTTTTATTCGAAACAGTTCATTTCCCATGTCATTCCAGCGCTCTGGTGGAAAAATAAAAATAATTATAAAATTATGCATTAATCAAATGTTGACCATGTTATATGTGAGTGGAAGGTTTTAATTGTAAATAGAATAATGCTGAACATTAAGCTTTATGCTAGATGGATTTCCCTTTCGCTCAATTGGTGGAGTGGAGGATTGGGAAGCTCGAGAGTCGCTGTTTCAATATCTTTCAGTTATACATGCTTTGAAGTCAGCTCAGTCTGCTTTCATTTTCATAACTGAAATCGTAAAACCAACAACAGGCCAAGAGGGCCTGTATCATTCATCTGGATATTTAAGCGATTATGGCAAAGTATTCTCCATAAAAGTAGTATATGACAAGTAAAATTCCAGAGATAAGGCCAGTCCCCAGGTAAAGCCTGGTACCATATGTGTATCCAAATCCTCACGCACAGTAATTGTATGTATTTCTAAAAGGTGGTGATATTGACCAAAAAGTCCCTAAGAGTGTGGCCAGACCCAAGGGTAAATTCTAATATAATGATTGTGTTCATCTCTTAATGCTAACCATGTTATTTATAGGGTGGGGATCTGAACTGTTTCCAAGGTGTGATCCAGAACGAAGTCCCTAGGGGTGTGGCCAGACACATGAGTCAATTCTAATGTAATTAATGTGTTTTCTCTTCATGCGCAGTTAATGTATATGTGGTGAGGATCTCAATCATTTTTAAGTTGGGACCCAGAAACTAAGAACCTAAGGGTGTGGCCTGACCCCAGAGTCAATGCTAGTATCATGATGGTGTTCATCTCTTTATTCACACCAATTGTATGTATAGTTATAGTGTGGGGATCTTAATCATTTTAAAGTTGTGGCCAAGACACTAAGTCTCTGAGGGTGGGGTCAAATGCTAGCCCATCCTCGTAGCATACATGTATTTGTATCTTTATACTCAGCAATTGTATACTGTACACATACAAATTTTATGGGTATTTCAATTTATGTGCCTTTTTTTACTTAAACATTGTGCTTATTTATCGTTGCACTATTGTAAATTTCGTATATAGTTTTCAATTGCATATATTATTACCTGTTAATGTTTGATTATACACTAAAATTTGTGCCAGCTTAGATAAGTACTCATTTCCTAGTTTGAAACTTTTTTCTGCCCAACCCCTCAGCCCTGCCCCCTCCCCCCAGGGCAAGCCCTAGTATGTACAATTTTGAATCACCACCAACAGAGAATGCTTCCAATCAAATATGACTGCATCTCTAAATTCCGGAGAAGTAGTCACTTTAAGAAATATATATGGCCTAATTTGTCTGGCCTTCGGACCAGGTGAGCTAAAACCATAACAACTTTGACATCCTAGTAAACAGAATATAACAGTATCAAGAGAACTTAAACAAGTTAAAGTAGAAAGATGGAATACTAACAGTGACAGAACATCAAAAGTTTTACCAGTTTTTTTCCATAATTTTGCTGGAACAAGTGTTGTCATAGACATTTTTTGGCATCCAATGATTTCTAGCTCATGGTCAATAATCTTCACTAACTTGTCGTATACCCTCTGACCTAAAGGCAGTAGGTTGAACCCTCCTAAGTGGCACTGCTGCATGATGCTGGCGAATAGAAAAAGCTGAAAGTAGATATTAGCATTATGAATGGAAGTCATGTACAAATTATATACATGTACAAGTTAAACAAGTAAATGTTACAGCCATGTGCAAATTATACCAGTAGCACAGGGTTTTCCCTAGGACCCTCAAATTATACCAGAAGCACAGGGTTTTCCCTAGGACCCTCAAATTTCTGACATCTTAGAGTCCAAGGACTCAAAACACACATAATGAAGTGCAAAATTTTAACAATTTTGGGAGTCCTTTGTCAGATTAAGGAGTCAAAATGCAGATTTTTGAGAGTCAGGGAAACCCCCGAGTAGCAGTATTATAAATGAAGATACAATGTACAAAATATACCAGTATTATAAATGAAGGTATATATACATGTACAAATCATACCAGTATTATAAATGAAGGTATGTATACATGTACAAATTACACAATTGATATGAAGGAGGAGTTGCTCATCCCATTATAACATGAGGCTAGTCGAGAGAAAATATTTTGTACAGGAAAAAAAATAGTATAGAAACAAGAGGCCCATTGGCCTTAACGGTCACCTGACATCCGATTCAAATTAAGACTGTCATCCAGAGGCCAATTCATACTTTTCGACGGTCCGAGTGACCTTGCTGCATTGTCTATTAATTTTTCCTTGTGAACACAATAACTTCAGTAAATATGAATTGATTTTGTATGCAGCTTTGTATCAATGAGATCTTGGATGAGTTTGAATGCCGGATCAATTTGACCATATTCATTCCCCTTGGTAATTCTATTATTGTTGGATCCTGTGAACACGATAACTGAAATAAATGGGTGTGACTCCAATTTTGACCCAAGGGGTCTGTTTTGAACAAACTTGGTAACTGTATATCTTCTGTTCTTGGTTAAAAGAAATGAGTAAAAGCGTAAATCAATGATTTATTAAATAAGGAACAAAATTTTAATAGCACCTTGAACTGTTAGTAGCAAAAATGTGTCATGAATGAAAAAAACGGTGTACCACATGAATTTACATCTATTCTTGTGTAATGTCAATCAACATCACAGGGACAAATAATAATATAATGACAAAGAGCAATAACTCTGCAGGTTACCGTCAAATAATAACCGGACAAAGTTTCATTGAACTCCGTCAACATTTATTCAAGTTATCATGTTTACAAGGTCCAATGATAATATTACAAAGGGCAATAACTCTGTAAGTTACGGTCAAATAATTCCCAGTTTCGAACTCATCCAAGATCTTATTGATATAAGGCTACATAAAGAGTTTCATCAAACTTGGTTGATATTTACTCAAGATATCATGAACACATAACCGGACAAAGTTTCATTGAATAATATTATTACAAAGGGCAATAACTCTGTTAGTTACTGTCGAATAATTCCCATTTTCCAACTCATCCGAGATCTTATTGATATAAGGCTGCATGCGAAGTTTTATCAAACTTGGTTGATAATTACTTCAGTTATCATGTTCACAAGGTCCAATAATAATATTATTACAAAGGGCAATAACTCTGTAAGTTACTGTCGAATAATTCCCATTTTGAACTGGTCCGGGATCTTATTGATATATGGCTGCATACAAAGTTTCATCAAACTCGGTTAATATTTACTCAAGTTCTCGTGTTCACAAGGTCCAATAATAATATTATTACAAATGGCAATAACTCTGTAAGTTAATTACAGTCGAAAAAAAATCCCATTTTCAAACTCGTCCGAGATCTTTTTGATATATGCCTGCATACAAAGTTTCATCAAATTTGGTTAACATTTACTCAAGTTATCGTGTTCACAAGGTCCAATAATAATAATATTACAAAGGGCAATAACTCTGTAAGTTACAGTCCAATAATTCCCATTTTCGAACTCTTCCCGAGATCTTATTGATATATGGCTGCATACAAAGTTTCATCAAACTCGGTTAACATTTACTGAAGTACTCGTGTTTACAAGGAAAAGTTAACGCACGACGACGGACAAAAGGCTATCACAATAGGTTACCATGACCTATGGTCAGGTAACCTAAAAAAACAGCCCTATACCTTGTGACTCTTGCAGACCAACTTGTTGCCTGTTGGGTAAACGTTTCCAAGATTCTGGTACATGTTGCTCACAAATTTCCTTCCAGTATGACTATGTGTCCTTGCTCCTTTAGTGTTTGCATTGGAAGTGCTAGATGTCTCAGTTTGGAGTGTTCTAGAAGCATTGCACTGTGATGAACAAAGAACTTGTTTCTGATAGAGCTTTAGGAATATCTGTCTGCAACATCCTACTGATGACATCTGTCTTGTTGGCCCTGACAACATGTCTAAGTCTGTAAGTGCAAGTCTGAAATGATAGATGGCAAGGATGTCATTATACATATGAAAATCCATTTAAAACCTACCATGAAATCTCTTTTACCTAGCAAAGTCAAACCACTTGCTTAATTTGTGAAAGTGGACATGCAAATTTTGTTTATGGAGGCTGCCATTTTTGATACACCAGATATAAAACTCATTCTGATCCTTGTCAGTTTAAGAAAATAACAAAACAAAAAAAGACATGTCAAACCAGCACCTTCAGCTATGGGATCTCTCCACCTGTTTCCGTCACATGCTTGAAAAAACTGCACAGAAATGACCAAGCAACGAATGAAAGCTGTGTAGCTTTCTATCATCCATTATAAAAAATATGAAAGCTCACAATCTGTAACCATTGCAGTTTATTAAGACGTATTACAGTGTCACTCGCTTTTTGTTGTAAAAAATTCTACTGTAGACAATATGTGTTTACCATGCATGAAAGTTTCATGCAGAAAATGTTTTCTCTCATTTCCATGTGTGTAAGATATAGCATCCAGGATAAGAAAGGGGTGTAGGAATAATAGAACCTATCACTCCTATGTGATGTAGACAGAGATATCTCAACCAGAGGGCAAGACATTTTTTTAGGTAAGCCGAGTGCTAAACCTAAAAAATATCTCATCCCGGGGGCGAGATATCTCTGTCTACATCACACAGGAGTGATTGATTATTTTTCTCCCAAATTTTCATACTGTAAAAAATACATTCACTGCAAATTTGTATTTTGACCCCAATGCACCGAACTATCATCAATTAAATTCATCAACAATTCTTCTCTTTTCACCATTTTTTCCTATGGCTATTTTGAACTGTCGGAATGCTGAGCTTGCCATGTTTTGTTTACATGTGTATTATACATGTGTGTAAAAAGTGATGATGTAATCAGGTTTGCTAAAAGTGCACAGGGTCACAGGTCATGTTGAAAGAAGTGTGTTGTCTGTGACGTAATAGAGCTTTATCTTTTCCCTACCAAAAAACGGGAATGTACCTGTGGAGTGTGGAAGAAATTTCTATCTTACACCCCATTTCACGTGACGTGACATCACAATGGCTCGACAATGACATGACGTCACAAATTTGGAACTCTCCGATGCCGCAATGCGGAAAAGGCGACGTGATGAAATCAAAAACCTTTTACAATATATTTACCGTACACGTAAGAAAGGTGTGATTAGTTTTCGTTTTTTCTGCACAAATTCTGTTTTCCAATATAGGATATGNGGGGGGGAATTGAAATGCATTTCTGAGCTTATTCTGGTGGTTGGAACGAGATAAAAATACACTTTCACCCAAAGCCTCAGGTTTTACTAATTTGTAAAACCCCTCGGGTGGAATTTCCCTATCCTACACCCCTAAACATGAAAGAGTCTTGTATTCCCTATTGGGAGCTGGGGACACTGATATGATGTGTATACACTACAATGTATATTATAGTATGTATAGCCCATGTGTGTGTCCAGCACCTCTACTTTAACAGCAACTTACAGTACTGGTGAGGGAAAAAGGACATTCACTTTGAAGTTGTGGTACCTGACTCACAGTTAAACCTAGTTAAACCTAGGCTGTATATCTACCAGACAAGCATGATCTTATAAAGACAAATCTGCTACATATAGTAGCTGCTACTACTGCTTCCTCCATTACAAGGATCAAGGCTGGAGTGCAATTGACCCTGGGAGGCAGCACTCCAAAGAATATATTTTTGTTATTTTTAGGTATTATCAAAAATATGTATAAACGAGGATGCAAAATTAGTAGAGACTGGTGGTAACCTCCAAGTGATTGTTGGTCACTGATTGAATGTGTTTGCCCCAAGTAAGGTCTGAACTGAAAGTGACACCAAGATATTTATAAGTATCTACATTTTCTAAAATCTGATATGAAGGGTATAATTATAATTAATAATGTTTCTTTTTTTGATACGTTAATAATAGAACATTTACTGGTGTTAAAATTCATTTGCCGCTTTTCTTCCCATTTTTCTAAAGACTTAAGGTCATTGTTCAACTTAACACAATCTTCTATAGAGTTTACTTGTGTATATAATAGACAGTCATCAGCACACAGTTTTATATTACACGAAACTGAGTCAACAATATCATTGATGTACATCGAAAATAAGGGAGGGCCGAGGACTTCCACTGCAGGACCCCGAAGAGGATACGACAGCTATCTAATTGTATTCCATTTTAATAGTAAGACTTTCTGGGTTCTAAAATTCAAAAACTGTGATATCCAAGAATATATTTGGCTGTTTATACCACAATACGTATTAGTTTAGAGACCAGCCTTTGATAGGGAACTTTATCAAAGGCTGCTCTCCAAGTCTAAAAGTGCAATATCTGTCTGTCTGTTTACATCTATGTTTCTGGCTAAGTGCATCATCAATGGTTTAAATAAGTTGAGTTTTGGTAGAGTGTTTAGAATGAAAACCATGTTGAACATTTGTTAGAATATTGTTTCTGTCTATAAGGTGTTTCATGATGCCACTGTGAATTACATGTTCAAGGAGTACATGTCAAATGGATGATAAGGAAACAGGACGGTAGTATTCGGCAGAGTGTTTACGCCTTTCTTATAGATAGGGATTATATTTGCCTCATGCCAATCAAGAGGAACAGTGCCCATGTCCATGGGATAATTGAAATATTTTTGTTAATGCATGGGTTATTTTCCTTGCGAGGCCATATTTAAGAATTTTTGCAAGTATATCTGTAAATTAGTTGGAAGTAATTATATATAAAGACCCCTGTCTCACCAACTTTAATGTCAGACATACTTTGGTATGGGGAGGGACCAAGGTTAGGAAAGTTAGATAACTGTTATTGAGTTAATACCTAGTGAAACTGTTGGTCCAACAGAGACGTATAATACATGTTTTATACGTCTCTGGTTCAAGAGATGAGTTTTGGTTTTGGGGTCTGAGTAAGTTATTCCATCCTCGGATTTCTTGTAGCAGGAATGTTGTTACAATAAAACTTTTTACTATTTATGCGACTCCAAAACAAAACCTTTAATGTTTTTCTTTCAACTCTGGGCTGATTATGTCTTCACTCTTGTATGTATTTGCTGTAAGCCCATCTAGTTTCTTTTTTGCATATTGGCTCCGATTGGTCCACAGGGGCTAGCAACGATTTATATGGGATAAGAAAAAAACATATAAATCGTTGCTAGCCCCTGTGATTGATCTATATCTAGCCCAGTCTGATGCTTTTTTAGTTTGTATTGCCTTGTTATAGGCCCGTCGTTTGTGCCTTGCCAATCTGTTTATTTTTCTATTTGCCCAATAGTTGGTGAATTTACTGTAGACCCGTAAGACCGGGACATGTCTCTGTATGGCAGAGGTTAAAGTAGTTTTAATACTATACAGTAAGGTTCAACAGTCTGCTGGATAACCGAACTATTCGGTAGTGAAGCGGACGTAAAACCAATCAATCAATCAATCGGTACAACAACATAACACAAGCACGTACTCACAATAACACGTACAGTACACACAGTGGAGTGTGGTGCCGGGCTACCGGAACTCCGAATCATATGTGATCTTAGTTGTGTATGCGTTTGAAATGAGTATGCAGAAAATCATAGCATTGCCATGACATTGATGTAGGTAAAACTAAAAGAAACGCGTAGAAATCTGTCTATGGTGATCGGTGTGGCATTGATCTGTATGTCATAGATAAGTCAAGACCACTGGTCAATGGAAGCAAATGGTAAGTACTGAGTGTCAACTTTCTTTGCAATAACGAATGGGCTCAACATTGGTTTAGACCATACTCCTATAACATAACAATAGGCTGCTGGTCGGCCTTTTTTCTATCGGATATGATTTTGCCGACTGCGACGTTTGTCAACAGTATCTCGCCGTGTTAGACCTCTACTGCCCGAGCAATCACTGCTTGTTATCATACAGGGGATATATACAAAGCAGTATCAATGCAACAGTAAATGCAAAATAACTACGTATATAACAATAAAACACCTATTACTAATCTAACTGAGCACTCTCGCTACTACACACGCGGCCGATCGCTCGTTGACCTCTCGCTGCTCGACCACCCTACCTGTACTCTACAGATACAGATGCTTTATTTTACGTCGAATCGTATAAACATACAAACATAAGCTATGAATAGCTTGTATTTCGACAAACACATGTAAAGAACAAAATACATAAGAAAAAAACCCACAAAAATACAAAATACACATACATATTGAAACGTAGCATATAAAGCATGGACAGCACATTTGCAGAAAATAAACATATGACAAAAGCATCAAATTGTAAACTACAAAGCTGACAAAAAGCACAGAGCCATATGTCAAGCTGTACGTTACATTTTAAACAGAGAAAAATACACTTCAGCCAGCACAGGACACATACGAAGCAGGAAAAAATAGGTAGCCAAAAACGCTAACCAACACATAAAGTGCATCCGCACTCGGGCCCGTCCCACCTACGGATCAGTCTAGGATAGTTCAGTACGGCATATGTCTCGCTACAATGATAGCTTGGCTGCACCTCATGTACCTATATTGTACAATATCTAGAAATCCTCTTGCTAACCTTGAGTTATCCTGACCACTCGCGATCGGGATCCAAATAACTCCCTAGGTCTAACACAGTCTAATAACGAGCTCTCACAATCTAACGAGCTCTCACAGTGCCCATGCAACACGATAGCTCTCCCTTTTAAGGTATGATTTTTTCGATTGAGCGATTGTAATGGGTAACAGTCTTATTCAGATATACCCTGTCATTGAAAGCTCACTGTACATGTCTAGTATGCTTACAACTAACAAGTATTGGTCTGCTCTTGTGTAGCTTCCGACACAGAATGGTAAATGGCTGTGGCCATATGCACGCTGGTCAAGAGGCTGTGGCCTGATCATGAAAGGCCATGCACTCTGGCTGACGGGCGGTGGTCGAAAGGTTGTGCACGCTGGCTGTGACGCCATGGTTGAAAGGCTTTGCACACTGGCTGTGTGGCTGTGGCGGAAAGGCGATGAACGTTTGATTGATTGATTGATGGGGCTTTACGTCCTTGTTCCGGTTATAACCGAGCCTACAACAATTAAACGTGCATGTTAACCAGCTTATTTACCCATAGGCCCCGCCCATACCTGTCAATCACCCAGAGATTGTCTGCATCACCGATGTGTTTTGACCAGGGCTAGGTCAAGGCCAGCTCTAATCTACCGTGAAAATAACATCGAGTATGCACTGGAACACAGAGATTAACAAATACAAACAGCTAGCTCAGCATATTTTTCGTCACAACTAGAACTAGATATGATGTATAACTTAATGTTAGGTCACAGGTAGCCCTCCTCTGGCCATGGCACCAGACTTAGACATTTTGACAGATAGATGTCTGGTATGGGGCCAGAGTGCATTACTACTATCCCGTTTGGTATCCAGGAGTTTTGAGGTGCTGACAACACACACCTCACATATACATGTATATATCTATGAATGGATTAATTATTGATCCAAATCTGCTCTTAAAGCCTGACAGTGCAAGTTAAAAAGCTTTCAATTGAGATTTAAAAAGAAAAAGTTTGATTTTTTCTGGTTTTGAGATCTTCCCCATCTCTTCCATCTATCGTTTCTAAGGAAGTACGGCAGAAGCATTACCTGTCAAACCACTTATCATTTGTTCAATATGTGTGCAAGGTGACATTTCTATATATATATATATAACACTTTCACGATTTTTTACTGATGTTTTGTTTCAGATCAGTTGAATAAAAGTGAAATGGTAACATTTATCTAAGAAAAGTGGAAAAGTAGTAAAATACGACCAATTAAAATATCTAATGCACAATCCCAATTGTAAATTCTGCGCTGCTCAAATACTGCATTCAAAAGTTACTTTTCAGACAAAATCAACAATATTTTCGACAAATAATTTCTGCATAGGTATAATTATTGACATTGTTCTTGACATGAGTATATGAAGCAACTTTCATACCTAATTCATTTTGCGGAAAGTTATGAGCCGATTTATATTACAAACAATATACACTGACATGATTTGGAATACCTTAATATCACCAACGGCTGCTAAATTCCTAAAAGAGTCGTCGGTTTTCAATCATTCAAAACATTCCCACCTGAGGGAACACCATTTTGTAGTCACGGGAGTGACTAATCAATAAACCGCACTGATCCTGACCAAGAGCAGAAAATATTATATTTATTTAGAAGATTTCCGGGCCGCCTAAGTTGGTTAGATCGTCCGTCTAGAGTTTGGAGGGTCCCGGTTCGAACCCTGCTCTGGCTGTGCATTTCTCTCCTCCTCCTACATTTGGCACCCAACAAAATATACCCATAAATTGGAGGAATGTAGCACTAGCAGAACTCTACTGGGTCCATTGTTGGCAACCAAATATCTCGATTGGCTATCTAGTAGAGTTCATCCGTCTAGGCTCCCAGGTTCAAACCTTAGTCTGGACATGTATTCTCAGCTCCTGTTACGTAGTATATACACATCAGTGTGTCCAGCACTTGTGACATAAACCACAACTCTTGACGACATTTAATGTTTTACTATGGCGCCACAAGGACAGTAACTCTTCTTTACGCATGTGTTACCAAGATCAGGCGCAGGATTGAGGCTACCAAATAAAGTGCACTCTTCTTAATTTCTAGTTTTTTTTCACCAACTTGCTCTGTATTCTGCAGTATTCAATATCTTGTTATTTTTTTTTAAAAGTCAAAATTGTATGTACACTCATGATGTTTAACCCACTGACGTGCGTGTGACAATCAAGTCAAGGGTGCCTATAAATATATGTTCAGCTGTGCCATTAGTATGACGCCATCAATATTGAAGTACATCATCAATGGTCATTGACTGACAATGAATGATTGGTACTGATGTGGCTCAGAAAGCTAGATGCTGGCTGGATCATATTCTCTAAATTCTCTATTTCAGCAAATTTGTATAGCCTACCTAAATGGATATGCGTCTTACCTAAATTTTAACAGCTAACACAGTTATAAATTTGAACAATATCCAACAAAACATGGGAGTTTCCTGAATTTATATATTTTCTTTGCACACTGCACAAAAGGTACCAACTTGTAGGATGTCGTACTTAATATAATACCTTGGACATGCATGTTTCAGGGTTCGGAGGTCAATGTCAAGATCACTGTTGCTATATATAGAAAGTCATCAAACCATTCACTGTCATCACTCTAGCTACTTCATTTATTAAGAGATTTTGATCAAAGTTTATACAGATTTCAGGTATAATGCGGAAACCTTGGGTATACAAAAGTTTGTGTTTCAAAGGTCACTACACATTGCTATTCACAGAAGTTTTTCTCTATTTTTCTCCATGTATCAACTTGAAAGTTACATGATAATACCTTGAATGTGTACATATTTCAGGGTGTCAAGATCTAAGTTTTTGTAACTATTTATAGATCATTATCAGCACTGCAACTAATATGAAATGGTGGTGAGCTTGCCTTCGTGTCTTACAGTCATGTTCTAGTTTGATGGGTATATATATATTGTACAAACACAATTCTTTAGATGGACACATGTGTTGCTTTCATTTATATTTTCTAGATGGACTCAAGAAGTGGAGCAATCAAAGGAAGATCTAGAAAACTGTATAACTGTAGTGAGTGTAGGTATTCCACTATTTGCAAAAGTAACTTGAATAAACACAACAAGAGACACGATGTCATTTCTACATCGAAGGAACAAGAACTGGTATGCGATAGATGTGGGAAGAAATATACGACCAAGTTTGGACTGAAACTGCACATCAAAAACAAACATGAGCTGACATTTAAACATTTGTGTGACATTTGTGGTAAGGGTTTCAACCAGGCAGTTCAGTACAGACTCCATTGTTCCAGTCACACTGTTGGGCAAGACAATGTCTGTCCAACGTGCAAGGCTGAGTTTAGTGTGGAATCCAGTTTAAAAAGACATATCAGGATTTGCAAGAAGAGAAATGCATCAACGACTGAGGAAATATCAGACAGCTGTAGACACAAGTGTGAGCAATGCCATGCCTCCTTTTCCACTAAAGACGGATTGCGTTCTCATGTTACAGGCATGCATCAAGAAGCCAAGTTCCAGTGTAATATGTGTGATAAGGTGTATCAGTGGAGATCTAGTCTTAAAGCTCATCTCAAGTGTGCTCATGGATATACCAGTTAATCGCCAATGGGATTCTGACTTTCAATACCCTTTTATTACAATGCATCAATGGAAATCAATCAACTTTGGTATCAATATTATTTAAGAACATTTTCTTTTGAACTTTAGCTCTATTTCTACTTGACTGTTTAAAGTATATTGGTAGATTACAAGTGTACAATTAATGAAAGAACACTTCGTTTTTCACTGAGGTGTTCAATTTTATATTTAGAGCACTAGGTTGCAGGCAGATTTTGATCTACAAGTGGACTTGTTAGAGTAAATTTTGAAAAATTTCACTAGTCTGGACAATGGCCAGTGGAATTGTACATATATATATTGATGACTGCTTTATAAATTAAGAATAAAAATTCATGCTCTCACAATTAGTTTCATGTAAGATGTATTACATTGTATTTTGTTTCTATACTTGCTGTCGTTGTACTATAATTTCAAATAAACCAACATTCGACCGCTGTGAGAGTATGATGCTTTCATTTCTCATGCAAACGTACAGAATCATTCAAAGAGACATACACAAGTGACGATCTATGCAAGGGCTGCCCTGTGGTACACTCCCTCTGACACAGTTAGTCCATGCCGAGCTGCCCTGTGGTACATTCCCTCTGACACAGATAGTCCATGCCGAGCTGCGCTGTGGTACACTTCCTCTGAAACAGTTAGTCCAGGCCGAGCGGCCCTGTGGTACACTTCCTCTGAAACAGTTAGTCCAGGCCGAGCGGCCCTGTGGTACACTTCCTCGACCGCTGTGAGAGTATGATGCTTTCATTTCTCATGCAAACGTACAGAATCATTCAAACAGCCATACACAAGTGATGATCCAAGCAAGGACTGCCCTGTGGTACACTCCATCTGACACAGTTAGTCCATGCCACGCTGCCCTGTGGTACACTTTCGCTGACACAGTTAGTCCATGCAGAGCTGCCCTGTGGTACACACTTCCTCTGACACAGTTAGTTTCCGCCGAGCTGACATGTGGTACACTTCCTCTGACACCGTTAGTCCATGCCGAGCTGCCCGGTGGTACAATTCCTCTGACACAGTTCGTCCATGCTGAGCTGCCCTGTGGTACACACTTCCTCTGACACAGTTATAAGTCCATCAGCCCAGCTGCCCTGTGGTACACTCCATCTGACACAGTTAGTCCATGCAGAGCTGCCCTGTGGTACACACTTCCTCTCACACAGTTAGTCCATGCCGGGCTGCCCTGTGGTACACTCCTTCTTACACAGTTAGTCCTTGACGAGCTGCCCTGTGGTACATTCCCTCTGACACAGATAGTCCATGCCGAGCTGCGCTGTGGTACACTTCCTCTGAAACAGTTAGTCCAGGCCGAGCGGCCCTGTGGTACACTTCCTCTGACACAGTTAGTCCATGCCACGCTGCCCTGTGGTACACTTCCTCTGTCACAGTTGGTCCATGCCGAGCTGCCCTGTGGTATACTCCCTCTGACACAGTTAGTCCATGCCGAGCTGCCCCGATAGGTTTCAACAACTCCCAAAGGCTCTTATATGTCATTATGTAAGACCTCCCCCTGCACAGTTCAGTCACCAGATTCACCTCAAAGCCACATGCACTAGAACACTGCTTCCTTAACAACGTTATAAATAATTTAACACTCAAAACATTAATGTTGATAACATATTTTGTTTCATCATTATCATTTCTCATAAAGATTTCTCAAAGCTATATAGTCATGCTGTAAAAAGCAGTTTCCAACACGTTTTGATAGTGGTATGGGATCCTTAACCAGGTTTCACTGTTTAAAGTCTGACCAAATTAAATGTTAAGTTAGTACATTCATGTCAAGATCAGGTCAAGTTAAAACAGAGTATATCTAGAAAAGGGGTCCTTTGTGATTGCTAATGGTAGCCAATTTCAATTTATCGATGTATAAGAGGAGGATAATATAACATTATTGGCCTTTATAGAGAAAGCTTGAGTGAGGCATGATTGATCAAGGGGAAATAAAGAATCATGTTTCCCTATATTGCAATCCTAAAATAGAACATTATTACACAACAGTATAGATTATCAGGAATGTCTGGAACACATTGGACAGAAGAGTCTACCAAAGAAAGACAACTCATTTGATAATGTGCAAAAGACCTGAGATGGATACTTGTAGGTGAAAATAGATTGTGTGAGAGATACTCAGTGTTTTGGCACCTGGTCATGCGATTTATTTAAACCAATCAGGCACAATTTTAATTAGATTAGGTATAATGATGAAAATATTGCTCAGAGCTTGTTTCAAAACAATTCAATGAGTTCCATGTTTTATAATGTAAATTTTATTTTTTATTTTTTTATTTCTTTATTTTCTAAAGCAACACACTTCATACCATCTTCCAATAAAAGGAAGTTAGATGACCATGAGGAAAAGGATGTCATGAGGGGTGATCCCTCATATCCTCAGGCCCCACCCTCAGCCCCTTGTGAGCCCCCAAGGAAGTGTCAGGTCGAGGAAGGCTTCTCATGGTGGACATGTGCCATGTACGGGATGCCCCATGATAAAACAAGACCCCAGGCACGGCCAACAGAGGGAAACCAAGAATAACCATCCAAAACACGTGCCGATATATCTTACAGACATTACTCGACTGATTGAAGCCTATGGTAATTAAGGATAATTGTCTGACAGATATAACTGTATGTATAAAATAACCAAGGCTAAACACCAGGCACGAAACTCTTAAAGACGATTAATGTCTAAATTTCTATTGTCTGTCAAAGAATATATAGAATTGTGCTTCCTAACTAATTTATTGTGATAATAATCTACTGGAGAGTGTATTTGTGTGTGATAACATTATACAGGACATAGATAAATATGTATAGGAAATTTACAGAGATTTCAGTAAGTGGTGAATTTTGAAAGTAGTAAAGACACTTTGGAGAAGAACAAACAATATTTTGCACACTTCAGCACTTCCTGAGGGTATGCAGCACTCTTACAACAGTAATGAGCGTTAATGAAAATTTGGCTGTTTGTTCAAAAGATAATGCAATAGTGTCCAACTGTGATGCGTGGATAAATGAGGAAACTATACTGTTTGTGACAAAGAATGCTGAGGATTCTAGTGACAACACCTTGCTTCCCCAGCACCCAGACAAGCCTCTCAACTGTGACCTCCTTTCCCCGCCGCCAAACAGGCCTCTCAACTGTGACCTTCTTCCCCAGCCCCTAGACAGGCCTCTCAACTGTGACCTCCTTTCCCAGCGGCCAGACAGGCCTCTCAACTGTGACCTCCTTTCCCACCAACCAGACAGGCCTCTCAACTGTGACCTCCTTCCCCAGCCCCTAGACAGGCCTCCTAAACGTGACCTTCCAAACTCCCAAGAAAGTCTGCTTGACAGTACACTTCTTCCTGTAACCCTAGAAAGGCCTCTTAACAATGATATCTCTAATGAAACCCCAGAAAGCTCCCTGGACAGTCACCTTCTTCCCCAGCCCCCAGAAAGCCCCCTGGACAGTGACCTCTTTCCCCATCCCCCAGAAAGTCCCCTAGACAGTGACCTCCTTCCCCAGCCCCCAGAAAGCCCCCTGGACAGTGACTGTTGTGGAACAGGCTGTGTGCCCTGTGTGTTTGACATCCACATGCAGGAGATGAAAATCTGGGAGAGGGAATGTAACAGAGTCAGACAGAGACGCAAGGACCGCCACATTGGCATACAGGTACGTAAGACTATATGTCCAGATTAATGGAAGCTTTGTAAATTGTTCAGCACCTTTGGGTGCCTGACATTGTCATTATTTAACTCATTACATTACAATATTTTCTAACAATGTAAATAACCCTGATATGCTTGTGTAATTTAGTTTAATTAGCTCCCCAGGTCAAGAATAGGGTGCAGAAGTTATTGTAGTCACTCTGGTGTCAACATCCCGCTTCAGATTATAGATTTTGAGTAAGTTTTGGCAAACAGTGATGGTTTTTCACAGTCAAGAGGCTGTTGAATATTATAAAGTTGTGGCATTTATATGGGGTATAAGCAATGACCTGCCGAAACTACCTTAATTAAACCCCCACAAAGTTTTGGGGTAGTTATGAATACCCCTATCTGTCTTTCCATGATCCTTTGTTAAAAACAATATCTTATTTACAAATATGCTGTACATTATATATAATTCTACATAATATAATATTAGGGATCTGGCCACTAGAGTAGGCTCTTATATTAAGCCATCTCCATGATCCTTGTAAGCGTAACTCCTTCTAAACCATGTGGTTTTGTTTTTAGCTCACCTGGCCCAAAGGGCCACGTGAGCTTATGCTGTACTGCGACATCCGGTGTCCGTCTGTCAACTTTTTCATTTGAACGACTTCTTCTGAAGAACTGGAGGACCTATGGTCATGATATTTGGCCAGTAGGTACCTTGGATGAAGTGCTATAAATTTTTCTCATTAAAATAACCTTGACCTTCACTCAAGTCACAGGGGTCAATTATGTTAAAAACTTCAAATAACAATATCCTAGGAACCATTTGGACTAGTCATGATACTTGGATATGTAATGTAGACTAGCAATGCAAATCTTTTTCTTAATTAAAGTAATGAGGTCAAAGGTCAGCTTCCATAAGGCCCAGGGTCATAATATTTGGCCAGTGGGTACCTGGGATGTAGATTCCTCATTAAAATGTTTTTGAATTAATTTCCAGGTCACAGGGGTCAAATATGTTAAAAACTTCAAACAACAATATCCTTAGAACCATTTGAACTAGTTATGATTCTTGAGTATTTTATTTAAACCAGCAGTGCAAATCTTTCTCTCTTAATTACAGTAATGAGGTCAAAGGTCAACTTAAAGTGCTAGTCGGGAGGTCAAACGCCAACATGCATGGGTTAAAGGCTTTGACAATCTTCTTATCAAGTTCCATAAGGCTCAGGGTCATGATATTTGGCCTGTAGATACCTAAGATTGAGTGCTTTTCCTAATTAAAATGACCTTGACCTACTTTCAAGGTCACAGGTGTCAAATGTGTTAAAAACAACAATATCCTTAGAACCATTTGGACTGGAGTCATGATACTTGAGTATGTTATGTAGACCTGCAGTGCGAATCTTTTTCATTATTACAGTAATGAGGTCAAAGGTAAACTTTAAGTGCTAGTCGGGGGTCAAACATCAACATGGGTTAAAAGCTTTAAAATCATAATTTGAAATTTTAAAATTATAATTTGAAATTTCAAACAGCAGTATCTTATGAAGAGTTTAAGAGATGTTAAAATGTCTTGAGTTCTAGTCATCAAATTTGGTCTGAAGCTACCTATATGTCAGTTTTATGTAACAAAAGAAACAAGTGAGCGCTCTGGGCCTCTTGTTTTTTTTTGTACTTGACAAAGTGAAAGTATATCATCATATGTAAATGTGTATGAAGAAAGGAATTTCTGATTTGACTATTTGTTTTAGGAGTTAAGGCCCCTGAAACTTTAATTTCTGCTCCAGAAACATTATAAGCGCTAGCAAGGGGAATATTTTTGTGAGCTTGCTCACAGTTTTTCTAGTTGGAGCTGGTTTAAGTTTTTGAGCTAGTTTAGGCTAAAGTTTTTAAGCCAGTTTTAGGTAAAAGATTTTGAGCAAAGGTGTTTTTATTGCAATGTTAGATCATCACACTCAATAATCCTCCTTAATAATTGTAATATTCAGATGTACATTCATTATACATAAACTTTACTGTAGCCATTATTTTGTATGGCTACCTACATTGTACATCAACAAGAAATGATGCTCATTATAACAATACCAGTTTAGTAAACTAAAATATGTTAGATACAAGTATTTTTATTGAAATATTTTTTTTACTTAACACATATCAAACAAGAGGCCCAAGGGCCTTAGCGGTCACCTGAGTTATATTATAGGTACTGGTAGTTCAATTTCATTCTTGATATGAAATGTGGAAATCAACATGCAAACTAAGTGAAATACAATATTTGTCATGTCATCAAAGGATAAGAATTTTTAAAATATTGGTGAATTTTCCCTTTGGGGCCCTGCCCTAGCCCCTGGGGATGGTGTAGGAATCCCAATTTTACTATATGATACCCTCATTGCCCAAAGATGATTCTGACCAAGTTTGAATAATTTTCTGCTGAAAATGGATAAAATATACCCAAAAGTGTTATTTCCCTATATAAACTTAAGTAAACTTAACTCCCAAGGGAGAACGGATGGCCAGGGGTCCTGAAATATACAATTTAAATAAAGCCCCTGATGATCTTTTTATTGAGGAACAGACAGAAAATTGTCAAAATATACCTAAAAGTGTTATTTCCCTATATAAACTGTAGTAAACTTTACCCTTTCCCCAAGGCAGAACGAATGGCCTGGGGTCCTGAAATTTAGTATTTAAGATAAAGTGCCGGATGATCTTTCTATTCATGCAGAGAAAACGACTGTAGTACCTTTGGGTCTTGAGAAGAAGATTTTTGAAATATTGGTTAATTTTCCCTTTCGAGCCCCACCCCCGGCCCCAGGGGTTGGGGTAGGAAACCCAATTTTTTAGCTTCATCTTTCAAGGATGATTCTGACCAAGTTTGAAAAAAATCCATCCACTGGTTCTTGAGAAGAAGTTGAAAATGTAAAAAGTTTATGCACGACGACGGACAGAAAGTGATCAGAAAAGGTCACTTGAGCAAAGCTCAGGTGACCTAAAAAGGGAAGTTATGCTTTTCTCCGATAGCTAAGGTTTTCTTTTATAGGTTGGTGAATAAAAGAATAATTTTGCATCTGTATTATAGATGATTGGAAAGTGAGAAAATATTTCTGACTTTCTGCATATGACATGTATCATTTTAGGAGGAAAGTGCTGAAATCTTGGTAGAAACTGAGTATCACCAATTTACTCTAGCAAGTATTACAAGGAATACGAAGGACACACAGCTTTACAGATTTCATCTGCCAATGGACAGGTCACTAGGTCTGAAGCTAGGACAACATGTGATTCTCAGGTACAACACAGTTAGTCAAAGCAGGAATCAGTGTACTTTATACATTATCAGGTACAACACAGTTAGTCTGAGCAGGCATCAGTGTACTTTATACATTATCAGGTACAACATAGTTAGTCAAAGCAGGAATCAGCGTACTTTATACATTATCAGGTACAACACAGTAAGTCTGAGCAGGAATCAGTGTACTTTAAACATTATCAGGTACAACACAGTTAGTCTGAGCAGGCATCAGTGTACTTAATACATTATCAGTTATAAAATGAAATTGTGGTGGGGGATGGGATATACTAGAATTGGTAGGATTTCTGTCTATCTGTCTGTAGAGACATATTGATGACCTAATTTTAAGTTATGCCTCTTTGTTTAACAGGGGTCAGGTTGATGGAGATATTTTCACACGCCAGTACACACCAGTGTCTGATGTCAAAGTCACAGACTACTTTGAGCTTCTAATAAAGGTACTTTGTAGAAGCTTTATTATTGAGCCTATTTATTGTGTTAGTGAATTATTACAACATCCATATAAATGTTTCATCATGTCTACACTGTACAGTAGTGTGACTGGATCATCAGGTCTACACTGTACAGTAGTGTGACTGGATCATAAAGGCTACACTGTACATTAAGGTGACTGGATGATCATGTCTACACTGTACATTAGTAAGACTGGATCGTCAGGTCTACACTGTACAGTAGTGTGACTGGATCATAAAGTCTACACTGTACATTTAGGTGACTGGATGATCATGTCTACACTGTACAGTAAGGTGACTGGATCATCAGGTCTACACTGTACAGTAGTGAGACTGGATCATCAAGTCTACACTGTACATTAGTGTGACTGGATTATCAAGTCTACACTGTTCAGTAAGGTGACTGGATGATAATGTCTACACTGTACAGTAAGGGGACTGGATGATCATGTCTACACTGTACAATAAGGTGACTGGATTATCATGTCTATGCTGTACCATAAGGGGACTGGATTTTCAAGTCTACACTGTACAATAAGTTGACTGCATTATCAAGTCTACACTGTACAATAAGTTTACTGGATTATCAAGTCTACACTGTACAATAAGTTTACTGGATTATCAAGTCTACACTGTACAGTTGTGTGACTGGATGATCATGTCTACACTGTACAGTAGGGTGACTGATTATCATGTCTTTACTGTACAATAAGGTGACTGGATTATCATGTCTATGCTGTACCATAAGGTGACTGGATTTTCAAGTCTACACTGTACAATAAGCTGACTGGATTATCAAGTCTACACTGTACCATAAGGTCTCTGGAGTATCATGTCTACGCTGTACCATAAGGTGACTGGATTATCAAGTCTACATTGTACAATAAGGTGACTGGATTATCATGTCTATGCTGTACCATAAGGTGACTGGATTTTCAAGTCTACACTGTACAATAAGTTGACTGGATTATCAAGTCTAAACTGTACAATAAGTTGACTGGATTATCAAGTCTACACTGTGCAATAAGTTGACTGGATTATCATGTCTACACTGTACATTAGTGTGACTGGGTCATCATGTCTACACTGTACATTAGTGGGACTGGATCATCAGGTCTACACTGTACAGTAGTGAGACTGGATCATCAAGTCTACACTGTACATTAGTGTGACTGGATTATCATGTTTACACTGTACATTAGTGTGACTGGATCATCATGTCTACACTGTACATTAGTGTGACTGGATTATCAAGTCTACACTGTTCAGTAAGGTGACTGGATTATCAAGTCTACACTGTACCATAAGGTCTCTGGCTTATCATGTCTACGCTGTACCATAAGGAGACTGGATTATCAAGTCTACACTGTACATTAGTGTGACTGGATCATCATGTCTACAATGTACATTAGCGTGACTGGATCATCATGTCTACACTGTACATTAGCGTGACTGGATCATCATGTCTACACTGTACATTAGCGTGACTGGATCATCATGTCTACACTGTACATTAGTGGGACTGGATCATCAGGTCTACACTGTACATTAGTGTGACTGGGTCATCATGTCTACACTGTACATCAGTGTGACTGGATTATCAAGTCTACACTGTACCATAAGGTCTCTGGCTTATCATGTCTACGCTGTACCATAAGGAGACTGGATTATCAAGTCTACACTGTACCATAAGGTCTCTGGCTTATCATGTCTACGCTGTACCATAAGGAGACTGGATTATCAAGTCTACACTGTACATTAGTGTGACTGGGTCATCATGTCTACACTGTACATTAGTGTGACTGGATCATCAGGTCTAAACTGTACAGTAGTGGGACTGGATCATCAAGTCTACACTGTACATTAGTGTGACTGGGTCATCATGTCTACACTGTACATCAGTGTGACTGGATTATCAAGTCTACACTGTTCAGTAAGGTGACTGGATGATAATGTCTACACTGTACAGTAAGGGGACTGGATGATCATGTCTACACTGTACAATAAGGTGACTGGATTATCATGTCTATGCTGTACCATAAGGTGACTGGATTTTCAAGTCTACACGTACAATAAGTTGACTGGATTATCAAGTCTACACTGTACAATAAGTTGACTGCATTATCAAGTCTACACTGTACAATAAGTTGACTGGATTATCATGTCTACACTGTACAATAAGGTGACTCGATTATAGAGGTAATGCTGTATAGGATAGTTTCACTGTTTTCTATATGCCATTTGTATATTTCAAATGAATTTTTGTGTGAACTTCTGTCTGTATTTTGACAGCTATATGAGGATGGGAAGATGTCACAGTTCATCAGAACTTGGAGGCCAGGGACAAAGGTGGACCTGAGAGGCCCATTTGGGGAATTCGTATATAATCCAAACAAGGTATAACACATCAACTATATCTTCTGGTTTCTGGATTTTTTTCCTGTCAAATTAATTTGATAAATATGATTGTCAAACATTATCATTCACATTTGAAGAACATTTATTTACCAAATAAATGTACTTTGTGTTTGTAGCATGCTCGACTATTGATGCTGGCAGCTGGCTCTGGGATTGCCCCAATGGCACAGGTGATCCAGGGTGTTCTCGACAATGAGGACGATGACACACGTATCCGATTGCTGTATGCTTGTAATAGTTACAGCGAAATTCTGTTGAAGTCCTGCCTTGATGAGTGGACCCAGTTCTGGAACTTCTCCGTTCTGTATGTACTTAGCCAGGTAAGTGTGCTCTAAACACTTCCACCACTATGTTTTCCCTATGGTCCCTGTCTCTCTTCCTCCAGGGGGACACACTCTAGGTTTATAGAAAAATTAGTCCTTCTTGTTCAAGGATGCTCTCTACACACAAGTTTTGTAAAATCCCTCCAATTGTTCTGAAGGAGAAGGATTTAAAACATGTATTTCTATGTTCCCCCTATTCAGTCCCACCCACTAAGGTGGTCACACTCTCGGCTCCCTGTTAATACAAAATTGAATCCCCCTTGCTCAATGATGCTCTACACAAAATTTTGTTAAAATTCCTCCAATCATACTGAAGGCGAAGTATTTTTAAAGGTTTACCTCAATTCCACAGTTGGGCCCTTTGGGAGGGGGGAGGGTAGGCTCACCCTCTGCTTGCACAAAATTGAGTCAGATTTTCCCAAGGATGCTCCAGGCCAAATCTAGTCAAATTGTCCGTAGCTGTTCAGCACTAATAACATTTTTAAGTAAAAGATGAAGGATTGATTGACAGATGCCACACCACATTATAAGATCACTGGTCTTAAGAACCAGTCTATCTTTGATGGTGGGACAGGTGGAAACATTTAAATATGTGCATCTACACATGTAACGTACCTAAATAAAGCTAATTTGTCTAAGATAATTCACACACGACTCACTTGTTTGCAATTGCACTATATAGGGAAGGTTTTGTAGGAGCATTGCACATGCACAGTTCCACAAATTCTTGCAGATATAATATTATTGTTCAATAATGCACCGTTATCAACCAATGAAAAGTATTGTAACATTGCAGTCGTGGTAACATACAGATTATTCCAAAGGGCCAAATGTGCTTATGCTGTGGCACAACATCGGTTGTCTGTACGGTTTCAATATTTTTCTTCAAATGACTTCTTTTCAATAATCGACAAGCTTGTGCACTGGAGTTCACTTTTCTTGTTAACTTCAGTGCACTTAGCTACCACGTTAAGGTTGCTCCCAACTGTACCAAGAGGAATGTTATCTGGCCATTAGCATGCTAGGATGAAGGGCTACCAAGTTTGTTCAAATAATTTACCTTAACTGCCTTTCAAGGGCACATGGATCAAATGCTTAAAAATACCAGGTGAGCAATTCTGGCCCATTGGGCCCCTTGTAAATTATTTTTGTTTTAGAACAGCATATATATTTTGTGTTTGTTTTTTAACAGGAGCCTGTAGGAGACAGTAGCCAGTACAGATACAGTGATAACATACACCTGGGACGTTTGGACAAAGACTTGCTATCTAACGAACTGCAAACACCTGTCGTCAAAGGCACAAGGGTTCTCATCTCAGGGACTAAATCCTTTGACAAGGACATGCTCAAATACTGCAAGATTCTGGGCATACAAGACTGTGATATTCATAAATTTTAACCTGAATCAGTAAATTCATAAATGACTGGAAATGCAGAATGGATTGTTGAATGTGATGCATGTGGGTTGATAGCTGTTAAAGAGTTATGTAGACACTCTTAATACATTCAGCCAAGTCAATCTTACCAAAACTGGTCGGGTTGTCTTGCTGTCAGCATTGTAGTTCTTTTGTTTGCTATACAAAAAATCCCCAGTATAGGGGACAAATTGAATTTGAACAACTGAACTGTTTCACATCAAAGTAAACCCTTTTTGTTTTAAAACTAATAAACCCATCAGTTAACTTTCTAGTTTTGTTAGTTTTGATATTTTTTCTCTTTGATGTTGCAAACGTTTGTAGATTTTTGATGCAGTGTTAACAGTACTGTAGAGATTCAAAGACCCAATCCTTTAATCAGGAGGGAATTGAACCTTTGTGTAAGATGAGTGTAGTAACCACAGGGCTAACTAACAACATGTAATAAACAAATAATGTGTATCATGAGAGTAAAAAGTACAACTACCCGTAGTAGCCACTTAAGTCTCTATTTCAAAGTGAGGTTATATACACCCTTAAGTCTATATTACAGTGAGGTAACATATACCCTTAAGTCTCTATATCACAGTGAGGTAACATTCACACTTGCGTCTCTAAATCACAGTGAGGTAATATACATCCTTAAGTCTATATTACAGTGAGGTAACATATACCCTTGCGTCTATATATCACAGTGAGGTAACATACACCCTTAAGTCTCTATATTACAGTGAGGTAACATTCACACTTGCGTCTCTATATCACAGTGAGGTAATATACATCCTTAAGTCTATATTACAGTGTGGTAACATATACCCTTGCGTCTATATATCACAGTGAGGTAACATACACCCTTGCGTCTCTATATCACAGTGAGGTAATATACACCCTTAAGTCTCTATATCACAGTGAGATAACATAGACCCTTAAGTCTCAATATCACAGTGAGGTAACTTACACCCTTAAGTCTCTATATCACAGTGAGGTAACATACACCCTTAAATCTCTATATCACAGTGAGGTAACATACACCCTTAAGTGTCTGTATCACAGTGAGATAACATACACCCTTAAGTCTCTATATCACAGTGAGGAAACTTATACCCTTAAGTCTCTATATCACAGTGAGATAACATACAACCTTAAGTCTCTATATCACAGTGAGATAACATACACCCTTAAGTCTCTATATCGCAGTGAGGTAACATACACCCTTAAGTCTATATTACAGTGATGTACATGTAACATATACTCTTGCGTCTCGATATCACAGTGAGGTAACATACAACCTTAAGTCTCTATATCACAGTGAGGTAACTTACACCCTTAAGTCTCTATATCACAGTGTGGTAACATACACCCTTAAGTCTCTATATCACAGTAAGGGAACATACACCCTTAAGTCTCTATATTACAGTGAGGTAACATTCACACTTGCGTCTCTATATCACAGTGAGGTAGCATACAACCTTAAGTCTCTATATCACAGTGAGGTAACTTATACCCTTAAGTCTCTATATCACAGTGAGATAACATACAACCTTAAGTCTCTATATCACAGTGAGGTAACATACAACCTTAAGTCTCTATATCACAGTGAGATAACATATACCCTTAAGTCTCTATATCACAGTGAGATAACATACAACCTTAAGTCTCTATATCACAGTGAGATAACATACACCCTTAAGTCTCAATATCACAGTGAGGTAACTTACACCCTTAAGTCTCTATATCACAGTGAGGTAACTTACACCCTTAAGTCTCTATATCACTGTATAATAGTTTGTGGCTCCCTGTCACAGCAACTTATATCCTTCTCTGTTTAGAGAATTCACAACTTCATTCAATGCAATTTCTCTTCAAGAATTTAGTAATCTTTAATGTGTTCCTGTTATATTGAGAATGATTTTGATGAATAAATATGAACTTTACACACCTTGGATATTTCATAGACGCTTAAAATAGGAATGTGTGTGTGATACAAGGCTACTGAAACAAGAGGCCCAATGGGCCTGAATCGCTCACCTGGTATTAACCTCACACTTGTTATCTTAAAAGTGGACTAAATCGGCTACAGGCAAAATACCAGTGTTTGATTCAAAAGAATCTATTAAAAGATTTAAACATATGACACATGTGACTTTGAAAATCAAACTAGGACATTAAGTTGAGCAGACTTTATTGCCTTTCATACCAGCATGCTTCTGGCCAAAGACGCCTATTCTGATTCCTGTGACCTTGAATATAAATGAAGGTCATTCATTTGAACAAACTTGGTAGTCCTTCATCACCCGGAACCTTTGAGTATTCAGAAGTTGTTTAAAGATTTCAACATATTTGCCCCCTGTGACCTTGCAAATGGGTGAAAGTCATTCATTTAAATAAACATGGTAACCCTTCATCCCAGCATGTAAATGGTCAAATATCATCACCCAGGTCCTTTTGGTTATCAAGAAGAAGTTGTTTACAGTTTTCAACATATTTGACTCCTGTAACCTTGAATATAAGTCAAGGTCATTCATTTGCACAAACCTGGTAGCAATTTATCCCAGCATGCTACTAGCAGAATATTATCACCCTAGACCTCTTGGTTATTCCAAAGAAGTTGCTTAAATGTTTTAAACATATTTGACCCCTGTGACCGTGAAAATGGATAAAGGTCATTCATTTGAACAAACTTGGTAGCCCTTCATCCCAGCATGCTACTGGCCAAATATTATCATCCTAGGCCTTTTGGTTACTGAAAAGAAGTCGTTTAGAGTAAAAGGTTGATGCCGGACAGACGGACGACGGACGCCGCACCATGGCATAAGCTCACTTACCCTTCGGGCAGGTGAGCTAATAAAATCATATAAGACTATACAAATACGCACATGCTGGTATACATTTATCGAAAGAGGTATACAGTTTTCAGTGTTATGATACATTTGGACCTATTCTTCGCACGTGTATGTAACACAATGCAAAGTGCTTAGATTAATTAATCACACAATTTAAAATGTTCTTATTTACTTTTGGGTATTAAAACGTTGTGATTGAACAAGTTATCACATTTTCCCTACAATAAGTTGGTTTAAACAATATTTAATTTATGAATATGCAGTACATAATATAAAATTATACAAAATGTAATGTTAGGGATCTGGCAACAAGAGTACTATAAAGCCATCTCCTAAAAATAAGTTCTACATATTAGAAGTATACATCTGACCCTGGATAGCGGTCATCCTCTTGGTATAATCTTAAACAACACATTAATTACAAACTCCAAAAACTATCCGGAAATGAACGGAGAACGAACTTAATTTGTGAGTGCTGAACCGTGTATCATTATTCTTTAAGTAACCATTGTGGTAATAATTTAAACCAAAATACCTTAACAGTTAAATCATTTACTTTTTGTCTGTTTTATTGAGAACTATTATGATATCAATCTTGGAAGTTGAATAAATTTCAAATTGTAATTGACTTTTGTTTTTAACTATAGTCGGTTTTAAAGGTTTGGATATTATAATTAAGTGCTTTATATTTGCTACTGATCTACAAAAACAATACATCCATTAAGTGATCCATCAGACCAGAAAGCATATATGTCTTGTCCGGTCATTCGAAGTATTACTAACCTTCCGTTTCACGTTTTCCCCGTAAAGTAATTGATAACTTTAACCAAAAACAACAGACATGCATAATTATGTTGATCAGAAAATGCTTTCCACTAAGGAAATGAATCAACAAAAAATAGTGAAAATAAACAAACGTGTGCGTTTTATTATTGATGATGTCCTAGCGGCCATAACAATACTTTGTATTACTCATAGATTTGTAAAGGATAAAAGCGGTCCTTGGTCACCGTGTGCTATTGTAATGTGAATTACGGTGTGAACATCTGGTAAGTATTTTTCTGTTTTCAATATTTCATATTTTCCATCATACACTGTATGCTATGTACATAGAACAAAATGTTTAAAATGGAAACTGTTCGAGGACCAAATTCAAAATAAGTCTTTGTTCATTTACATGTATCCATGGTTGTGAGTAAGTCATTTGCGATTAGAAAGAAGTATTGTATGTATTGTTTAGTAATAGTTAATTGATAATACTTATGATCACATTATTGTCCTTAACATTGAAGGGTTCTACATGTATGCCATTCTTTGCGCACGCCATCATCAACCAATCAATTAACGAAATGCAGATAAATAACCTCATTACAAGCTATAGGCTTTCCATTGATGTCTTACCTATGAGGATGACTTCCAACACGGGTTAAAGTTTACTACCTGTACTATACATGTGACTGTAACAGAACCATGACTTCCAACACAGGTTAAAGTTTACTACCTGTACTATACACGTGACTGTAACAGAACCATGACTTCCAACACAGGTTAAAATTTACTACCTGTACTATACACGTGACTGTAACAGAACCATGACTTCCTACACAGGTTAAAGTTTACTACCTGTACTATACACGTGACTGTAACAGAACCATGACTTCCAACACAGGTTAAAATTTACTACCTGTACTATACACGTGACTGTAACAGAACCATGACTTCCTACACAGGTTAAAGTTCACTAGCTGTACTATACATGTGACTGTAATAGAACCATGACTTCCAACACGGGTTAAAGTTTACTACCTGTACTATACATGTGACTGTAACAGAACCATGACTTCCAACACAGGTTAAAGTTCACTAGCTGTACTATACATGTGACTGTAACAGAACCATGACCTCCAACACGGGTTAAAGTTTACTAGCTGTACTATACATGTGACTGTAACAGAAACATGACTTCCAACAAGGGTTAAAGTTTACTAGCTGCACTATACATGTGACTGTAATAGAACCATGACTTCCAACACGGGTTCAAGTTTACTACCTGTATTATACACGTGACTGTAACAGAACCATGACTTCCAACACAGGTTAAAGTTTACTACCTGTACTATACACGTGACTGTAACAGAACCATGACTTCCTACACAGGTTAAAGTTCACTAGCTGTACTATACATGTGACTGTAATAGAACCATGACTTCCAACACGGGTTAAAGTTTACTACCTGTACTATACATGTGACTGTAACAGAACCATGACTTCCAACACAGGTTAAAGTTTACTACCTGTACTATACATGTGACTGTAACAGAACCATGACTTCCAACACGGGTTAAAGTTTACTACCTGTACTATACATGTGACTGTAACAGAACCATGACTTCCAACACGGGTTAAAGTTTACTACCTGTACTATACATGTGACTGTAACAGAACCATGACTTCCAACACGGGTTAAAGTTTACTACCTGTACTATACATGTGACTGTAACAGAACCATGACTTCCAACACGGGTTAAAGTTTACTACCTGTACTATACATGTGACTGTAACAGAACCATGACTTCCAACACGGGTTAAAGTTTACTACCTGTACTATACATGTGACTGTAACAGAACCATGACTTCCAACACGGGTTAAAGTTTACTACCTGTACTATACATGTGACTGTAACAGAACCATGACTTCCAACACGGGTTAAAGTTTACTACCTGTACTATACATGTGACTGTAACAGAACCATGACTTCCAACACGGGTTAAAGTTTACTACCTGTACTATACATGTGACTGTAACAGAACCATGACTTCCAACACGGGTTAAAGTTTACTACCTGTACTATACATGTGACTGTAACAGAACCATGACTTCCAACACGGGTTAAAGTTTACTACCTGTACTATACATGTGACTGTAACAGAACCATGACTTCCAACACGGGTTAAAGTTTACTACCTGTACTATACATGTGACTGTAACAGAACCATGACTTCCAACACGGGTTAAAGTTTACTACCTGTACTATACATGTGACTGTAACAGAACCATGACTTCCAACACGGGTTAAAGTTTACTACCTGTACTATACATGTGACTGTAACAGAACCATGACTTCCAACACGGGTTAAAGTTTACTACCTGTACTATACATGTGACTGTAACAGAACCATGACTTCCAACACGGGTTAAAGTTTACTACCTGTACTATACATGTGACTGTAACAGAACCATGACTTCCAACACGGGTTAAAGTTTACTACCTGTACTATACATGTGACTGTAACAGAACCATGACTTCCAACACGGGTTAAAGTTTACTACCTGTACTATACATGTGACTGTAACAGAACCATGACTTCCAACACGGGTTAAAGTTTACTACCTGTACTATACATGTGACTGTAACAGAACCATGACTTCCAACACGGGTTAAAGTTTACTACCTGTACTATACATGTGACTGTAACAGAACCATGACTTCCAACACGGGTTAAAGTTTACTACCTGTACTATACATGTGACTGTAACAGAACCATGACTTCCAACACGGGTTAAAGTTTACTACCTGTACTATACATGTGACTGTAACAGAACCATGACTTCCAACACGGGTTAAAGTTTACTACCTGTACTATACATGTGACTGTAACAGAACCATGACTTCCAACACGGGTTAAAGTTTACTACCTGTACTATACATGTGACTGTAACAGAACCATGACTTCCAACACGGGTTAAAGTTTACTACCTGTACTATACATGTGACTGTAACAGAACCATGACTTCCAACACGGGTTAAAGTTTACTACCTGTACTATACATGTGACTGTAACAGAACCATGACTTCCAACACGGGTTAAAGTTTACTACCTGTACTATACATGTGACTGTAACAGAACCATGACTTCCAACACGGGTTAAAGTTTACTACCTGTACTATACATGTGACTGTAACAGAACCATGACTTCCAACACGGGTTAAAGTTTACTACCTGTACTATACATGTGACTGTAACAGAACCATGACTTCCAACACGGGTTAAAGTTTACTACCTGTACTATACATGTGACTGTAACAGAACCATGACTTCCAACACGGGTTAAAGTTTACTACCTGTACTATACATGTGACTGTAACAGAACCATGACTTCCAACACGGGTTAAAGTTTACTACCTGTACTATACATGTGACTGTAACAGAACCATGACTTCCAACACGGGTTAAAGTTTACTACCTGTACTATACATGTGACTGTAACAGAACCATGACTTCCAACACGGGTTAAAGTTTACTACCTGTACTATACATGTGACTGTAACAGAACCATGACTTCCAACACGGGTTAAAGTTTACTACCTGTACTATACATGTGACTGTAACAGAACCATGACTTCCAACACGGGTTAAAGTTCACTACCTGCACTATACATGTGACTGTAACAGAACCATGACTTCCAACAAGGGTTAAAGTTTACTAGCTGCACTATACATTTGACTGTAACAGAACCATGACTTCCAACACAGGTTAAAGTTTACTACCTGCACTATACATGTGACACCCGTCATGATGTCTGTTGTTTAAAACCAGGAAAGTACGTCGGTCAAACGGATCTACATGTTTAGGTTTAGGGTCAAATATATTATAAATAAAAGATTTTATTTTTTAAATCACGTGTTGTGGTGCATTTTACAGTTGTATAGTTGTTCGAAATTATAATTTCTAAAAATAGAAGTATGAAAAGGAAATAACAAATACCTACAGGGATCAAACTGCGGACCTTTAAATTCATGGCAAACTCTTTATTGATGTTGTCAGGAGGAATTATTAATGCACTGCATACAATTAAATTTTCAATTTATGAGCTGCAAAACCTCTTGACATTGGAATTTACTCTTAGCCAGAATAAAATATTTGTTTCCCTTCCATATAGAAGAGTTAGTACTCCAAGTTAAACTTACTCGGAGTGGAACTCTTCTTAGCGGTAACAGCTGCTGTAGTGGCCATGGTACCCTTTACTTTAAACATGTACTCTTCTGAGGTTTAAGTCAAGTTCAAATCTCGTTTTGATCTTGTGTAAAAGGATTTTATTAAATCTAACAAACTATGATCAATTTTAAAAGCAAACATGCATCTGAAAAATGTTTCAAAGAGAGAACGTATTGGTTACAGAACTTTTTTACAAGTTTTTAAAAATACTACCACTTTGTGGGCCATTTTGAAAATATGAAACTCTTACGATGTTTTTTGATAATGCAATAGTTGAAAAATACCACACACCAAAAAAAATACAGCATAAAGGAAAAAAAGTGTGGATACACCTGTCCAGGATAAGAGAATCCCTTAATTCAGCCCAAGGGGGTAAGCTATTATATTAGTCTCACCCTTAGGGTTGAGACAGGAGGATTCACCTATTCATAACAATTGTATGACGTCACTTTAACATTACAATGAGGTCACGTCAACATTAAATCATTTACATAAAATCCGGGGTACACAATGAGTGAACAGGGTAAGAGAAAAAGAATCACTCACCCCCTTCAGGTGAGTTTGGGAATCTCACCCCTCTCCCGAAGGGGGTCAGATATGCTATAAATAATATATATGGGATCTTTCCCGGGAGTGTGGATACTCATATATCTTTCCTTGTCTGATCGGTGAATCGAACCCCGGCCGTCTTGATGAGTGTTCTGTCCATTGCGGAACCCGACCTCTCTTGTGCGAAATCGGAGTGACATTATTATGCTTTGTAGTTTCGCTATCACCACATCGGTTCTGTCTATGAGAACGGGACATCACTTGAATCTTACCCAGAAGCAGAAAACTTTTACCGTTTGGGGAAACCTAGTCTTATTCCTATGTTAATACTTTTCTCTGGTTTCATTTTTTTTAATTAATTAAAGTTTTCCATTGTATTGCATTTTTTTACATTTTTGTATTCTCTTGTATATTTGGTTATGAACTGTGTACCGACATTCGACATCGTTGTAACTTTGCTCTGGAATTAGACCAACAAATAGTTTTTTTAGACGTATATCAAACTTCATTTTGACAGAAATGAGAACGACAATGTTAAAAACTGTGGTGCTGCTATTGCTGGCCAACGTTGCCATGTCTACAAACTGGTGGAGCCCGAGGAGAGGACGTAAGTTGTCTTTGGCGGTAACATAGAACAGCTCTCATGTAGCTTCTCAGCTGTAAATGAGTACATGGTTGGGCAGTGCTAGAATTGTAGAATGCTAGCTGTGAGCGCCAAAATGGCAGCATCAGCTGTATGCTCCCCAGGGAGTTGAGAAAGATGTTGGCTGGTTGCAAAGGCCCTATAACCACGGATAATAATTTGTGAACCGCTTTGAGACAACCTATGAACTAAGTTGTGAAAAAGCGGTATATAAGAACCTCAAATTATTATTATTATTAATTCTTAACACAAGAACAAATCAAATGTTTAATTTAAAAGTTAAAAAGTTATCATATAAAATGCATATGATCGTTGATAGTTGTACACATGGAAAAGTTAAATAATTAATGAAAACAAGAGGCTCAAGGGCCTTAGCGGTCACCTAAGTTATATTATAGGTACTGGTAGCTCAATTTCATTATTGAGATGTGATGTGGAAATCAACATGTAAACAAAGTGAAATACAGTACTTGTCATGTCACCATAGGATAAGAACTTAAAAAACTCTTCAGATAAATTATTTTGCTATTGAGAAATAATATATTGTTATTTAACCGGTTTTCCTCTTTGGCCAACCCCTGGGATAGGTCAGGATCTTACTTTCTAATATTATTTTATTTCAATATCATTATCACTATTCCAACCAAGCTTGAATTTGTTCTTGCTGAAAATGGACAAAATATAGCAAGAAGAGTTATTTCCCTATTCAAACCAAGGAGAAAAGATGACCTAAGGGTAATATAACTAACAGTTTATATAATGCACAAAAGGGCATTTTCATCCATAAAAGAAATTTGTTTGAATCTTGTAACATCTGAGTGGAGAGGTTTTTTTTAAATATCAGCCATTTCCCGCTTTTTGGCCTACCCCTCCAGCCCCTGTGGCAAGGACGAATCTTATTTTTTCATACTGATAATGCACCTAAGGGCCTTTCTATCCATGAAGAGTATTTGTTTATAACACATCTGAGTCTGATGAAGAAGATTTTTGAACTTTTAACCATTTTCCCCATTTGGGCCCCACCTCTCCAGCCCCTGGGGATGGGGCAGGATAGGATTTTCTCATACCATCTAATTGCCATCTGGCATCATAATTACTCCAACTATATTTGAATAATTTCCTGGTGAAAATAGACAAAATATACCCCAAAGTGTTATTTCCCTATATAAACTATAGTAAACTTGACCCCCTCCCCAAGGGAGAACAGATGGCCCAGGGGTACTGAAATTTACAATTGACATAAAGGTATATCGATCCATGCAAAAAAATGACTGTAGTACCTCCGAGTCTGGAGAAGAAGATTTTTGAAATATTGGTTAATTTTCTATTTGAGGCCCCGTCCTGGCCCCTGGGGTTGGAATAGGAATCCCAATTTTACAATTTGTAGCCTCATCTACGAAGGATTTTTCTGACCAAGTTTGAAAAAAATCCATCTCCTGGTTCTTGAGAAGTCGAAAATGTAACATGTTTACTCACGACGGACGACGAACGAAAAGCGATCAGAATAGGTCACGGTGACCTAAAAATCGCAGATTATACAGCAATTGACTGGATATGTTGTTACTTACATTTAGTTTAAATCCATAATGTGTGTATTGTGTGTTTCAGTTTGTACGGGTCCTCCAGATTCCGGACCTTGCTATGCAAACATGAGACGTTTTTACTATGTTGCGGGATTCTGTTCTCCGTTTACGTATGGCGGATGCGCAGGCAACGCAAACAATCACGAGAGTTGGATAGAATGCATGCAGACGTGCTTTTTCCGGGGACCAATAGGACTGAGGTACTAACAACACTGAACTTTATCGGATATGGATTCAAAACAATTCATCAAATAAATAGCAATGTTAAAACTATTTTCACGTCAATAATATACACTGTACATTTTTTTGGTCTTTTCTGCAATAAAACAATTCCTGAAACGTCCCCTTTGATATTTTATGGCCTCACAATCAAAATTCAATATTGGAAAGATGGCGACTCGAAATTAGGCAAACACGTGCCACACTCAAATTTGCCGTCGTTGGAACACGTTCCGTGAACGATCTGTAGGGGCGGATCCAGGATTTCCTCCTAAAAGGGGGGGCCGAGAATTTTTTCTCAATAGTCAACGGTGTGCCGCGAAAGGCAGCAGCCCGAGCGCGTAGCGCGAGGAGGGGGGTGTGGGTACAGACCCCCTCCCCGTAAAGGAGGTTTGGGGGATCTCCCCCCCCCAAAAAAGTGTTTTCTAGAACGTCTCAGAAGCGATTTCCCGTGTTCTGAGGATTGTTTTTACGTTTAATTAACAAGAAGAAAAAAACATATTTTAAGTATGGCCCAAAGACTTTTTTTGTGTACTGGAAAGAAAATTAAAGTTTCGG